TATAAAAAAAAGAGCAATTTCATTTTCTATCAATATATAAAATACTGGTGAGTCTGGATTAGTATTAAAGTTCCTTTAATTGTCTGAGATTTGTATGGGTAATGCTTGTTCACCATAATACTTGTGCCAGACAGAATTAAAAGATATTTCAGGTTCTTTTGTTTATAGAATTGAAATGATTTATTATTTAGTGGAGTCTAGATTGGTGGACCACAACAAGTAACATTTCAGTCCTGGAGATTAGCTCACTACTACCAGAAAAATACCCTTCCAAATACAAGACTGTCAAATGTCATCAGACTTCAAGCCACTCTCTGCTAGATGCACAAATGAAGTTATTTATGAACAACAAGACTGCTGTATCCTATACAGAGAAAGAAAGCACAACACGGAAACTTGTCCTTCTGAGGGACACACAAGCTACACTATATTACCAAAAGTATTGGGACACGGCCTTTACACGCACATTAACTTTAATGGCAACCCAGTATTGGTTCGTAGGGTTCAATATTGAGTTGGCCCACCTTTTGCAGCTATAACCGCTTCAACTCTTCTGGGAAGTTGTCCACAAGGTTTAGGACTGTGTCTATGGGAATGTTGGACCATTTGTGAGGTCAGGTACTGATGTTGGAGGAGAAGGCCGGGCTCGCAGTCTCCGCTCTAATTCATTCCAAAGGTGTGCTATCGGGTTGAGGTCAGGACTCTGTGCAGGCCAGTCAAGTTATTAAACCGCAAACTCGCTCATCCATGGACCTTGCTTTGTGCACTGGTGCGCAGTCATGTTGGAACAGGAAATGGATATCCCCAAACTGTTCCCACAAAGTTGGGAGCATTAAATTATCCAAAATGTCTTGGTATAGTAGACACTTCAGCTGGCGCTGACCCCGCTCTGTTATTGTACGTGGCCTACCACTTCGTGGCTGAGTTGCTGTTGTTCCCAGTTGCTTCCACTTTGTTATAATCCCACTAACAGGTAACCGTTGAATATTTAGTAGCAAAGAGATTTCACAGAACACCTGAATCCAATGATTTGGAGGGGTGTCCCAATACTTTTGGTTATATAGTGTATCTTTCAATAGCCAGAACATCACCTCATCAAATTGTTGGCCCTTTACATCCCAGAGCCACACAACGAATTGGCAGGTTTTAACATCCCAAAGCCGAACAATAAGATTGTCAGCTATCTGAGAAGTTCCTTGACCACAACAAATTGTTCTTGAAGGTAAACTATATTAAAAACATCTTCACAGCCTGGTGAACACCTTTGGTGGGCTTTACAGTGTTCAAGATGAACGTTTCCTCTTCCCTGCTTCATCAGCTGATGCCCTGAGATCATGGGCTGAACAGGGCCGGATTTGCTGCCCCAATGCCAGGTTCCCACCTGTAAGCTTCACTGAGATCACTTGTACAAAACAAGCGGCGGTTTCCCCACTGTACATTTAGCCCTGCTTGCCCAAAGCAGGGCTAAATGTAGAAAACAACTACCCACCTGGCACTGCATGTCCCGGGCTTCAGGAGATAGGAATTCCAGACCCCTGCTGCCCCTCTACTCCTTGCTGCCCCAAGGCCAGGTCTCAGTCTGCCTTGTGGGAATTCCGGGAATTCCTGGGGCTGGAATGCCTTCTTGATTCCATGGCCCTTTTTAAATCTTGTTTTTTTTTTCCCCCCCACTTTCCTTTTTAATCATAAAGGTTTTCCTGAAGATTCAGGAACAGTTGGATCTAGCCATCATACTCCTGGGAGATGAAAAGAACCATCTTTCTATGTGTTACCACTAAAGAGATCCTTTCTCCCTCTAAACCTTCAGGAAAAAAAGGTCTTTACTGAAGTCAATGGCAAAAAGTCACACATGTGCAGAAGAGAAGTGGTGTCTGGCCTCACACAGAACAAACATTATAATAACTGTATATTCTGAAATAAGGGGGTATAGATATAGAGGTGAATAGGGGGGATGCATTTGAAAGATTGGAGCAAAGTTGCTTTGCCTTTACAAATGGCTAGGTGTTGACTGATACCAATAACGTCAGCCTTTTATTCTGCAGCACTACTAAGCAGAAAGCAATGCCCACATATGTAATACATATATAATGTATAGCTTACTCCCATACACAGTATCTCACAAAAGTGAGTACACCCCTGACATTTTTGTAAATATTTTATATCATTTCATGTGACGACACAGAAGAAATGACACTTTGCTACAATGTAAAGTAGTGAGTGTACAGCTTGTATATCAGTGTACATTTGCTGTCCCCTCAAAATAACTCAACACACAGCCATTAATGTCTAAACCGCTGGCAACAAAAGTGAGTACACCCCTAAGTGAAAATGTCCAAATTGGGCCCAGTTAGCCATTTTCCATCCTCGGTGTCATGTGACTCGTTAGTGTTACAAGGTCTCAGGTGTGAATGGGGAGCAGGTGTGTCAAATTTGGTGTTATCGCTCTCACTCTCACAAGCAGGCCACTAACCCACCGAGAATCGTACAATTCTGGCGGGTTTTCCAGCCTGCTTGTTTGATGGAAGACGTGCGACCGTACAGTAGAAACGGTCGCACGCCTTCCATACACTGCACGATTATCATACGATCGTGGGATTTCCCGCGATTCTCGTACGAGAATCGTACAGTGTATGGGCACCTTCATACTGGTCACTGGAAGTTCAACATGGCACCTCATGGCAAATAACTCTCTGAGGATCTGAAAAAAAGAATTGTTGCTCTACATAAAGATGGCCGAGGCTGTAAGAAGATTTTCTTATATCTGTACAGAAAATGGCTCGCTGGATTTTCCTGTCAGCATGCAAATCTCTAGTACCAGGCTGTGATCAGGAGTCTTGTCTGGCACTGGGAACTGGGTGAGAACTCCTGTGGTGAGTTTCCTGTTCTGGGGGTCTGACATCACACCATGCATGTAGCAAGCTAACCCAGAATAAGTGTGCAAATCAGGGTTAGCATGGATGACTAGCACTCATGCCTTGTAGCTATGGTCCTGAGTTCCAATGCTATCTGAGTGGTCTTATCTAGGATCCCCGAGGACATATTAGTATGTGAATGAGAGAAATATGACCCCTGGTAGGATCAACTTTGTGGCTGCCTTGGAGATCCACTATCAGGATCTGGACCCCGGGGCTGGGTAACTGCTTTCCCTGTAGATTCAGGGGTTTTTGAATACATGACTATAGCTCCCACTGACACCAGTGATGGGGCACTATTCCTCCCACTGACACCAGTGATGGGGCACTATTCCTCCCACTGACACCAGTGATGGGGCACTATTCCTCCCACTGACACCAGTGATGGGGCATTATTCTGCTAACCACTGAAACCAGTGATGGGCCACTAATCCTCCCACTGATACCAGAGATGAAGCACTATTGCTCAACCTACTGACACCACGGGGCACTCGTTCCTCCCACTGACATTAATTATGGGGCAATATACCTCCCACTGACACCAATGATAAGAAACTATTCCTCCCAGTGACACCAATGATGGGGCACTATTCCTCCCAGTGACACCAATGATGGGGCACTGTTCCTTGTGAGTGTGCCATGATACCTTTCTACTGTTTTACGATTCCTCCCACTGACACCAATGATGGGGCACTGTTCCTCCCACTGGCACCAATGATGGGGCACTATTCCTCCCACTGGCACCAATGATGGGGCACTATTCCTCCCACTGACACCAATGATGGGGCATTATTCCTCCCACTGGCACCAATGATGGGGCACTGTTCCTCCCACTGACACCAATGATGGGGCACTGTTCCTCCCACTGACACCAATGATGGGGCACTATTGAACATGAAATGGATTCCTAATGTTGATCATCATTGTGCTTTTGGAAGCATGTGACAAAATGGTCAGGTGTGAATGGGGACTAAATGAATTGTCCTGCACTATTTTTTTGGCACAAGTATGACAGTATTGCACTGACTCTGTGTCGGCATGACAAAGCGCGGTCAGGGAAAACAACCTGCAAACCAACAGTCAGCCTTTAGCACAGCTCTGCATTTTCAGCACAGGGCACATTACATTGAGTTTCTATAGCGGCAACTACAAGCTCCTTTGGCAGGTTCATAAACATTAGCAGTTCTTTCTCACGCAGTAACTTGTTTATTTTTCTGGGTCGCTGCCCCTTTAAGGCAGCCTGTTTATGTGGAAGGCTCGCACTCTCCTCCAGGAGCGGAGGAGTTAATCTGTCCAGCGCGAGCTCTACAACAGGCGGGAGGACTTCGGGAAAGCCGCGCCCACCCTGGCCCGGGCGCTCCAATCGGCTACGGCGCTTACATCCCCTCCACCAACCGGCTTTGAGCTCTAGCTTGGGGGGGAAAGCCGCTGTAGCCTTGCCTGTTACCTCACAGGTTGGCTGCGTGCGGCCGCCTCACCACGGGCGCTGTTGTGAGGAGCGCCATGGAGACAGCGGGCGGGCTGTGTGCCCGTGTTACTCACCTGCTTGCATCATTAGCAAGAGGGGGAGGAAATAAAAAAAAAAAAGAAGCAAAGCCAGTCTGGGGAATAATAAACGTGCGTCACACGGCCGCTTTCTACGTCAGTCAGCCCTGACCCATCCGAGGAGCTCGCTGTGCTTTGTATGCGCCGCCAGTACAAAGCCTGGGAACGGGTGGGAGGGGAGTTCTCTTCTCTTCCCATCACGAACAGCAATGGTAGCTGCCTGGAAACACAACCTTTTCCTCGCAGAATTTTAATATTTTACGACTTCCGTGACTCTTTACAGGAGAAGCTTCTCCCTGAACAGTCGCTGCGCTCACTGGAGGGACACCGGCCAGCGAGCGGTAATCCCTGGCATGAGTCAATGCGGGGCAGACCCCCTTTCTCCCGCGCATTTCTAATTTAACTGCGCCACCAGCGCCAGGTCACCGCCCATTCCCCGTCGTCACGGTAACTACGGTGGGCGGGGCCGTTCGAGCTGTTTTGGCCGATAAAGCTGGTTGACAGAAGTGGGAGAAAAAAAAAAGTGATGCCACGTGATCATGTGCGCGGCTAGTCATGTGACTTTCTTCTTCCATAGGCGGCTCACTGGGCAGAGAGAGGAGATGGGGACTGTGCTGGATATCAAGATCAAGAGGGCCAATAAAATCTACAGGGAGGGGGTAAGATGATCACAGCCTGTGCATTGGACAGCTGAACTCTGTGCATAAGACCTTTAATTGAAATAGGTTCCTTAATAACCGCAAAAGGTATAAATCCACCTTGTGTGCATCAAATGCCTATGCAAACCCAGATATTATCTTGTAAAGGTAGCAGTGACATCATCACTGTGCTGTGGGAGGGACCTAGAAGGATCTTCTCACGTCCTGTTTCAGGCTTCTGTGGGGTCCACAGGTGACAGACTTCCAAACCTTTTGATTAAGAGGACCTGTCACTTCCATTATGCTTGTTGCGCCCCCTCCCCATGTGATAGCAATGTTGTAAAGTGTACATGGAAGCGCAAACATATATGTTGGATGCACCTATATGCTGATAAACATATCGTGCATCACAAAAAATGGCAGCTAGTGGTTAGTTCCCAGGCCTCTGGGGGTTTAAAACCCTTTTTCTAGCCCAAAAATCCAGATTTCAGATGTGTACAAATGGCCCTGAAGTGGGTAATGGATGGGCAGAGGCTGGTCACATGACCCATCAGTCATGTGACTCTCCTCTGATAGCGGAGTGTTCTTTGCAGCCATCTGGAGAGATCACTCCGGAGCAAATTGCCCATGGCAACCAATCAGTTTGTTCAGTGAAGCTTTGAAAATGAAACGGAGAAGCTGATTGGTTTCTACGGACAACTGCTCCAGTTTTGATAAACCCCCCCTCAGTGTAGGGCACCTGAAGGGTCGTGCACCCCCCATCCCTGCTCTTATAAATAAATGCTCTGTTGTTGCTGTCCTTGTGATATGCCATCACTTCCTGTCACAGGGAGAGGAAGTGAGGGTAAATATCCCCGAGGGGGACACAGCAATAGACACAGGACAAAGGTCCCCAGCTCTGTGTAAAATGGAGGAGTTGGTCATTGAGTATGCAGAGTGATCTCTGTCTTCATGCGTTGTGGCAATCTCCTCCCCGGGGTCTGGAGATCCACCATCATGGCTGTGGTAGAAAGTCCTGCCATGTTAATGTGGTTTACACAGTTTGGTGGGTAGTGCGCTGACTGAGGACATTGTTCCCTAAACTCTCTGTGGACTACACAACTCCTCCCCTCTGTTGTGGTTCTGTTGTTCTGTCCTAGGGTGCTAACACTACTTCCCCATAGATACAGTGAGTGAGCGGTGACCCCCTAGGACAGGAAGTGTGTTGGTGACTACAGCAGAGAGGCTGCTGCTTCCACACTGTGTGTAGGAGTGCGGCTCTGCTGTATGACAATGGGGGACAGACCTGAAGCTGTACTCCAGCCTTCCCTCACTAACTTGTTCTGAGTAAGGAAGCCATTGGCACATATTTTATCATTGGGTTTCAAAATCAATGAATCCATAGGCAGGTACTTGTGATCAGCTCCACCTGGTGTCCAGAAGCGGCATTGCGTCTCTGCAGCACCACCGCAACATTCAGAGGGGAATTTATCAAACCTGGAGCAGTTGCCCATGGCAACCAATCAGATTCTCTCTGCAGTTTGTTCATTTCAGATTTGTAAATGAAAGCGAGAAGCTGATTGGTTGCCATGCACAGCTGCTCCAGATTTGATAAATTCTTCTGTTCTAAGACTTCCAATGGATCCATTGGTCAGAGATTTCTTCCAACACGGTATAAAGTTCTGGATGCCAGAGTCTCCTCTTCACTCCTAAGACTGATATCAGGGAGATGTTTAAATGTTATTAAAACTGAACTCCGGCCTTCCCTTCAGTCTTGCATGGTCGTACCGGCTCCTCTCCTGGACTGAAATTACTTTCTTTGATCTCACTGCAAGTTTCTCACAATGTGCATTAGAAGCTGCGGCAAGTCAGACAGAGTCCGCCTCATTTCCTGGCTGGAGGACAACCAGCACCATCTAGCACTTTCCTCCCCAGCCTGACTGTTCCCAGCCCTGCTTCTTTTTTTGTTCATTGGATTTCAGTTCTTTCAATCATGGAGTCAGCTGTCCAAATAGACCGAGCTCCCTCCTCCCCACAATGCGGGCTCAGCCTCCTGTGACAGATCAGAGGAGAGCGGTGTGTGGGTGGAGACAGCTGTCAGGATGGAGAGCGAGTACAAGCAGTCAGGGATCAGCTGACTGCTTGTAAATACTGAGGACAAAGTATATTTACCATATCTCCAATTATGAATGAACAGGAAGTGATCTATATGGCTTCCTGTTCATTCATATTTCTGGGTATAGTAATCATACTCTGTCCTCATGTTATGAATGAACAAGAACACTCAGTATAGCGGATTCCTGTTCATTTATAACAGGGGGATTGATGACTTTGTGTCCTCCAATCTCTTTTTGTATTTTAAAAGGGAACTATCAGGGGTCTGTTTAGATCCCTAATATTTCCCCGAAGCCCCTAAAAGTAAAAAAAAAAACAACAACATTCTGATCATTCTTTCTGAATGTAGTTTCCAGCACTTGGGAGAGGGAGCTCGGCACAAAGGTCCGATCCGTGTTAGTTGCAGTACAAAGTTGTGGAATAATCGCTCGTCTGCTGCGGCTTCATTGTCCTATCAGCAGGCTGGGTGTGTGTTCCTGACTACACTGTGCCGCCATTCCATTGGCTGGCAGCGACCTGTCTGTGCTGATTGGCGGGGTGTCTAGATCATACATCGAGATGTACATAAATCTTGCCTGGAGTTCAGCTTCAACGTTAGCTAGTACATAGAGTTACATAGTATTTGAGGGTGAATAAAGACACATGTCCATCAAGTCCAACCTGTTGTGTGTATGGTCCTACTGATGTGTGCGTATGTATAGGTCCCTGTGTGCTCTCATTCTTAAGAGTACTTGTACCCCTGTATATTACGGTCCCTCAGGAAATCGTCCAATCGCCTCTTGAATGATTCCACACTCTCAGCCGAAATCACAGCATGTGGCAGTGAGTTCCTGACCGATCTAACGGAGAAGAACCCCCTTCGCCCCTTGTGGCTAAATTTTTTTTTCTCCACCAATTTTAAGTGGTGGACTCTCGTCCTTGTCATGGAGTTAATTGTAAAGAGTTTGCTGCTAATGTCGCTATCCCCTGTAAACATTTTGTACATGAAAATCATGTCCCCCCTTAATCTCCTTACTTCCAATGAGAACATGTTTAATTTTAGTAGCCTCGTCTCGTAGCTCAGGTCCTCCATCCCCTGTATGAGTTTGGTCGCCCTCCTCTGGACTCTTTCCAGTTCAAGGACATCCCCCCTGTTCACTGGTGGCCAAAACTGGATCGCATACTCCAGATGAGGCCGAACCAGTGATCTATAAAGTGGCAAAATTATAGACTTGTCCCTGCAAAACATTCCCCTCTTAATACAGGACAGGACCCTACTTGCTTTGCTTACCGCAGCCTGACACTGCGAGCTATTATTCAACCTGTGGTCTACAATGACCCCCCAAATCTGTTTCCCTTTCGGACTTCCCCAGCGGAGCTCCCATTAGTGTGCCATTCACTTTCTTATTTTTAACCCCAAAGTGCACAACTCTACATTTATCTACATTAAACCTGATTTGGAAAAGAGAGAAATCTGACCGCGGTATAGTGTACAGTGTGTGGAAACGGCTGACCCGTCTCTGCTCTTCCTATAGGAGGTCTTGTCGGGAGTTGTGGTGGTGATGAGTAAGGACAACGTGCAGCATCAAGGCATCTCCCTGACCATGGAGGGATCTGTTAATCTGCAGCTCAGCGCCAAGAGTGTCGGTGTGTTTGAAGCCTTCTACAATTCGGTGAAGGTAAGTTTACCACGTGAGACCGTTTGGCTCCACTTACCTCTGTGCCGGTTCCACTTCTCAGATGCAGGGGGAGTCCTGCATGAAGTTCCTGTGAATGCAGGGAGCCACAGGGGCTGTTCATTGACACCCTGCACTCACTGGATGTCCTCAGTCTGATGCCGACTGTCATTCATCCTTCTTGGGGTAGAGAAGAATTCCTGCAAGTTGGCCTTTCATTTTTCCAGTGCATATAAAAGACACTTAACCTCTTGCCGTCCGCCCGTAGTAAAAAAACGGACGGACGGCACTGCAGCATCTGCGGGTTGCAAGCGGAGCTGGCCGGCTGTGACAGCGTTCCCTCCAGCGATGGTATGTCCCTCGACTTCCTATACACAGTGTATTGGATGTGATGACTCAAGGATTCTTAGACCTCTGCAGAGGAGGGGGAGAGAGACTGGAAGGACCGGTCTAAGAGCAAGCCAGCTCCGAAGATCGGGTGATTATAACTTTTGGAGGTTTACGTAATCCTGATTTCAATACGAAGTGATTACGTTTGGTGACGATTGATCTCATTTCAGCCAATTCAAGTCATCAGCAACACCGTAGAGATGGTGAAGCCGGGAAAACTTCCCAGCGGCAAAATCGAAATTCCCTTCGAGTTCCCCCTGGTGATAAAGAGCAATAAGGTCTTGTATGAGACGTACCACGGGGTGTTCGTCAACATCCAGGTGAGCAGAACCGCTTTCTGTACCTTCTGTGTTGTAAGAACCTTACTCGGGTCATGGGAGAGGGACGCAGAGCAGTACACACAAAGCTGCAAAAAAATCATTCAGACCAAGAGTGTGACATACGTGTGTACATACAGTACGTGTGTACACTCTTGCTGTGAATATATGCAGAACATGGCACCGACATACGTGTGTACATACAGTACGTGTGTACACTCTTGCTGTGAATATATGCAGAACACGGCACCGACATGTACATACAGTACGTGTGTACACTCTTGCTGTGAATATATGCAGAACACGGCACCGACATACGTGTGTACATACAGTACGTGTGTACACTCTTGCTGTGAATATATGCAGAACACGGCACCGACATATTTGTGAATGTGCTGACGAGTTTCCCGGCCTCCCTTTAGGCTCTTGGTATATGACACCCTCTCCTTGGGAAGATATTGAAACCACAGCACCCTCAGATTCTCTGCTAGCTCTTCTCTTATTGCTGAGTCTGATTTGCTATTGGATCAGCACCATCAAGTTCCGTGATTCTCAACTGGTGGGTCGCTGCATTGCTTCCACTGTGCTCCTCAGCCTCCCCCTAGCGCAGCACTGTCAGTTCTCGCACTGAGCAGCCATTCAAAATATGCTGCCCGGCGCCGAGTGTCAGCTTGAGGTGGGGTGGGGGTATAGCCGTGAGGGAGCTCCATCCATTCATGCACTCCTTACAGCTCCCTCTCATGCCCTGTAGAGGTGCCTGGACCGGAGTGACGCCACATTCTGTCTCCCGGCACCTCTACAGGGCTCACAAGGGAGCTGTACCAGCAATGCACATATGGATGGAGCTCCGTCACAGCACAGCAGCCCAGACTGGACCCCAGGGTGAGGATCCACTCCTGTTCTCATGGTTGTTGCTGTGTGTGTCTGTCAGTGTTTTTGAGGACCCGTCCCCACTATTACAGTGAGTTAATCTCATGGTCCCGTGCGATTAACACACTATACCACGCAGTCACACCAACTCCATGTCCGGGTGCGGAAGGTGCGTTTTGTTGGCATTCATTTGAATGGTACCCTAAACGCATCTCCCACCCACATTTCGATCGCCTGCACCGGAACGCATGGTAACGCAATGCTTGGTGTTCCAGTGCAGTGCGACTTAATGACCGAAGACAAATGTGGGTCCTGAGGTTACACGAGTTGAAAGTCACTGATCTAGTTGATGCAGGAAAGAAGCGCAGTCTATTCTTCTATGAAGGGTAGCAGGGGATGCAGAGTTTCATATTTTATGGCACCACTCAGACCTGCCAACTCTTATGTGTAGTGAAGCAACTTGGAAATGCCCTAATCGTTTTATGTTTGCTGCATCTCAGCGTTCGTGCAATGCGGACCCAAAAAGCATCAAGTTTTTATTTTACGTCTCTTTGAAAGTGCCATAGGACATTTAGGGGACAGCTTGAATATAATGTACTTAAAGGACTTTTAAGGTTAACTCCAGCTTTAAAAATGAACAAAATGTTTAAAAAGTGACCCTAGCATAGATCATTGTTGCAGAAGGTATCATGTAATTTAATGTTAATAAAAATGACCGTTTTATTTAAAACTGCAGCCGCTGTAATGTTCTAAATATGCCCAAAAAATTCAATGCAATACGGCAGGGGTGCCCATTAGGTAGATGGTGATCTACCAGTAGCTCTCAAAGCTGATGCTGGTAGATCAGGAAGGGTGTGAATGGCGGCCCCTTTATTCCATTTTGGTATATTTATTTAGCTGTGCACACATGATTACCTGATTACCTATCAGCCTGAGTCAGCTGAGCCGAGCTCCCCGACACCTTTCTGGTGGATATTGGGGGTTGCAGTGCTATGTATTACATCAAAGAATATTAGTGTACAGAGCCTGTTGCACTGCACTGTTTGCAAAATACAGCAAGGTGGGCCAGGGGAGAGACAGCCAGGAGATACGGACAGGAAAGATAGAGGAGAGCGAGGAAAGATAGAGAGCGAGGAAAGACAGCCAGAAGAGAGCGAGCGAGGTATTTTTTTCGTTGGTAGATCTCATGTAGGTCGTCAATGGAAAAGTAGATCTTAACACAAAAAATTGTGGGCACCCCTGAAATACGGTGACCTGGAGGTGATCTGTACAGGGTATAGAATGCCCCCAGAAATGTCATTTCCTGCTTCTGTGATTGGCTGGCCATTCCTCTTGTAGGCGGCAGTATGGCCCAAGATGAAGGACTTCCTTAATGGACTCCCAATATGCAGTCACTTGTATGTGTCATTTGTATTGTCCTGTGATCCCTTCCAGTACTCCCTCCGCTGTGATATGAAGCGATCTCTGCTGGCAAAAGACTTGACGAAAACATGCGAGTTTATCATCCACTCCCAGGTAAGCGCTGTGCAGAGGTGTCACCAAACTAATGTGAACTAGAATTGGGTGTGGGTTTTATAATGGGACATGTACTTTTAAAACCAGAATGAGTTGTATTAAGCTTGATATGTTTAACAAGCCACTATGTAATAGCACATTGGAGGTGACCGCTTCTGTTTAAGGGGACATTTAAACACAGCGAGTAGTGGGTGTGTGCAATAGCCAATAGCAGGCTGGCTATTGCACCTGCCTGCTGTCAATCAGCAAAGGAAAGGAGCTAAAGGAGAACGTTGTCCTTCAGGTCCTCTTCTGCTGATTGACAGCACGCAGTGCGAAGGTGCAATAGCCAGCCTCCTATTGGCTATTGCAATTTGCAGCGCATGGGTTGTGGCGGGGCAGGGGGAGAAGTGAGTGAGCAGAGTTGCAGCAGATGGGGGAGGAGCGGCTGAGCAGTGGTCAGAGTTGCGGGAAAGGCTGAATCAACTAATCGGAATCAACTAATCAATGATGAGAATCGTTCACAACGATTCTCATTATCGATTTTTATCAATTCGTTGTTGCACCCCTATTTTAGGCTCATTGTTTTTGCATGCTGACACTGCTGCACATACACATTTTTTTCTCTCTCAGTGCACCACATAAAGTACTCGTATGTAAAGTGCAGCATTTGGTAAAATAGTACAGTTCTCATACTCCTATTTTTATTTTGTTTTTAAAAACTTACATCACTGGTTACAATCAGGTCTTATGTGACCGACTTAGAAGCAAGACGATTTCTGGATCGTTCTAATGTTCTGTGTGTCTCTGTAGCCTCAGAAGACAAAGCTGAGCCCGAGTCCTGTGGATTTCACAATCACACCCGAAACATTACAGAACGTGAAAGAGGTGAGTTACCATCCACATCTCTCGGCAGGTAAACGTAAAAGCACACCAATCATCTCACTGCCATTAGAATATGTATTCCCCAATGAGAGTGTAGATGTGACCAACCGCCACTGGAATCCCCTTCCCATTAGTTTATTTTCCTTTTGTTGGAGCCTTTCTAGGTTTGTGCACATTAAAGCTTTATATACCTTATATATAATATATGATATCCGTGCTTCTCTATGTAGACATATCACGGGTGGTGGGAGGGACTGGCAGGGTGCTGTTCATAGCTTCCTGAAAACATCACAGCACCCTGCCTCAGTGCTCCTCAAGAGCCGGCTTGGTCCTTACTAGTTGTGCAAATATAAAAAAGTCTTGATGGATGGGTGTCATTCTGAAGGCATGGGCGTTCCTAGGCAGGCTGCTCTGCTTGTGTGCTGTCCTAGGTAATGCATGTATGCAATGTTGACCCTCCATGATTGAGAGAATAAGCAATTTCAGTCCAGGAGAGGAGTCTGTACAAGTGGGCAAGCTTCAAAGTAAGGCTGAGTTTAGCTGTAAAGTATAATAAAATCCAATCACTAAAATCTCATATAAGCTTTAAAGGAGAACTATGAGGCGAGTGAAAATCACTCATCCTCATAGTTCTAGCCGACGCGTGACAATGAGACTGTCAGTCACGGCTCCCTGCAGGGATTCCCCCCCCCTCCTCCCGTCTGATCTTCCAGCGCTGACTGGCGGAGCGGACGGGGGCGGGCACAGCTGGCTCTGCCTCTAGATAGGCAGAGTCAGCTGTCAATCACGCAGCTGGGTGGATCTCGACAGTAATGTCAGGATCCGCTCCGGCTGCGGCGTCTCAGTATACCGCCAGCTGTAGCTCACGATATACTGAGCTTTGGGTGAGAGGAGGACGCTAGTTTGTGTCCTCCCGTTACCCTTAGGAGAACTATGGGGAAAAACACTGACCCCATACGTCTCCTTTTAACATGTTATTGTCATTTAAAAATAATTGTAGGTGATCAGCAGCACAAAACTTGAAAACTATGTTTAAAAAAATAAAATAAATAAAAGTATGGCAATTGTTTTTAACTGCTTGTCGTCCAGCCATTGTAATGAATTGAGTATTTTTTACAGCCAGCGATGGCTGTTACATACGAGCAAAGTGTGTACCCCGCCCCCCCAGGTCAGTTTACATTGGTCGGACCCCTGATGACTCCATAAAGAGGGCCTGTCACTGTATCTGTGCTATCACATAGGGGGATTTTTAGCACCCTATGTGATAGTGATAAAGTTAAGTGTAAAAAAAACTAAAAATTAAAGTTGCATATAACGATAGAAAAAAAACGTTGAAAGTCCCCTGCCGCACGTTACACATCATAGTGAACGTCGGAGTGCAAGCAATAATTCTAGGGCCATCGATCGCTGTTAACACTAAACTGATGAGCAGTAAAAGCTTGTAAAACGTTGTATAGGGGCAATTTTGGGTATGGTAGTTCTTCGTGTTTTCCCGGACGCACGCAGTCCTAAGGCTTGATATGTTTGGTTTCTATTTACCCGACGTGACCACAGAAATGTAGCAGAAGACACTTTGGCCTAATGTATGAAGAAAGATTATTTATTTGCAACGTTTTATAACATGACGTAGAGAAAACAATGGAATAAAAGTCATTTCCGCACGTCTTGCATGACGCAATAAATGTCGGTGAAAGTACCGCAGCGCTGAATACTGAAAAATGGCTGGAACAGGAAGGGGGTGCAACACCCCGGGCTTCAAGTGGTTAAAATACCGCATTTTGGAACTCTTAAATGTCATACTTTTTTGGGGGTCACGTCTACTTGAACAAGCCAATGAAGGAAGACATGTATTGGTACAGATTGTTTCCTGCTGTTCAAGTGAACATGTGCTTTGCCTAAGGGCTCAGTCACACTAGATGCAGTGCGTTCCGGCCCGATTTTGGCCAGAACGCACTGCCTTGCATTACGGCTGGCTCACTTTTTAGTGGTGTAGGAGGGGGCGTGGCGGGCCATTCAAGTTAATGGCGCCGTAGCCACGCCCTCCGGCCGCAATGCGATCCACTGCACGGGATCGCATGGCACATTGTGCCTGCGGTCCGGTCCTGTGCAGTGCGATCAAAATAGTGCTTGTAGCATTTTGATTGCACCGCACAGGATCGGACCACATATATATATATATATAGTATATTTATATTATTCTGATAGGTGCCAACCCCCACCATAGAAACTCTTGTTCCCTAGAAACCATTCAGAATCAATCTGTTTGAGTTGTACTTCCTTTTGACACTTTGACACATGAGACCATGCTGGGCATCACTCGTCAGAGTGTCCACACTTACAACTGCTATTTCTTCACAATCAGAGTCAGGCCTGCCCTGGGCAGTGACTTCTGGAATCTTAAGTTTGCTGCCCCTGAGGAGATGAGGACAGGTCCTGACACTTTGACATGCGAGGATCTCTGTGTTTAGGCCGTTGTTATCAGAGTCTGCACTTCTATGGTATCTGTCTCCATGTGGTCAGTGCACAAGGACACAAATCTCCTTCCTAAGTGTAGAAAATTGCGAGTTCCTTCGGCTAATTCATAATCTGGAATGGAGCTGCTTCTTGGAACATTGTGGGCGCTGTGGCTGCCCTGTAAGTGTTCTTAGTCTGTTATTGCAGCATAGAGAAATATTTATTGATTTAAACCCCCCCCCCCAGACCCCCCAATCCCTGGAACTCCCTGCTTCTGTAAGTAATGTGCCCGCCTGTCGCTTTCCCCAGACGTTAATTCAGGGTGACTACTGATGCCGTGTGACTTGAAAACTGCCAACGCACCGAGCATCATTACTCTTCCTCTGACCACGCTACTGCAGAGAAAGCAGAATAAGTTTGTGTGCCCAGACCCGTCCGAGCGGCACAGCGCGAGCCTTCCGACCCGTCATAATATACAGAGAGGCAGAGTGAGGAATCCGGCTCCCTCCTAATGGAGGTAGAATTACGGTAAATTGGAACAAACTGTACTGTACACCTGAAGGTTCCGGTTTATAACGCACGCTGATCCCTGAGGGCGGCTGGGAAGCATCTGACATTACAAATTGGATATCTATTGATGTGTCATATGAACCGCCGTGAACTCCTAGAACTTCTTAAAGGAGCTCTGCTAGTCACTGCATCCGGCATGGAAGCGCAGCAAAGCTCCAGAGCAAGGTTCTTCCCCTCCCCCCCATTTGCTTAGTTATATATTAACCCTTTTTAGTGTCGGTTATCCCATTGGCCAGACTTTTGTCACCAACGGGTTATTCCTAAAGCCCATTTCCCCCTTTGCGGAAGTATTTAAAAAAAAACAAAACCATGCCAGCAATGTACACCAAGTGTGCATGAAGCTGACGTATGCAGTTGCTGTATATGAACACAGAAACTTACTTTTCTTTTCAGCTCTTCATGGCTCCTGTTGAAATGGCCGCCTCTGTGCTCTGCAAGCAGTCTGTGTACATTAACACTCGCTCTCTTTCAGCTTACGGCTCCTGCTCTCTTTCAGCTCTTACTTGCAGTTAGGGAATACAGGGGTGTCCTCTCTCCACTCCCAGCCTGCTGGTTGGATAGTGAAGCAGCAGAAGATCAATAAGGTTATCCCTCTGCTCTCTACTCCAGTCAGCTTGTTTCATGTCAGTAAATTTGCATGCAGCACCTTGATTGGCTTTCCACACTGCCTCTACCTGTCCAAGTGCTGATGTGTAGGGTTTGCAAAAGGTTGATACCTCCTGAAATTCATGTAGTGATGTATTAATGAGTATATAGCAGCATTGTTTGTACTTTTTTCATATCTGCTCGGAGTTCAGCTCTAACATGACTGGCCGCTCTTGTTCTTCAGAGGGCCTCTCTGCCGCGGTTTCTCATCCGCGGTCACCTGGACTCCACCAACTGCCTCATCACACAGCCTCTGACGGGGGAGCTGATCGTGGAGACATCGGAGGTAGCCCTCAAGAGTATTGAGCTGCAGCTGGTACGAGTTGAGACTTGTGGTGAGTCTCCATTATGGGTCTGTTATTTCTTCATTGTCAAAGGTCAGCCATTTCTTTTTTCTGTGCACTTTTTTGGCACTTCCATATTGGTTGCATTTTGTGCCAATGCAGAGACGAGAGGTATCTCTTCGGAGGTTCCATGGCCTGTCAACACGGACCAACCATCAAAACAAAACTCTATTTGATAAACTTCACATGGAAACTTTTTAGCACCACAACTCAGTCTTAGGTGCAATGTTCAAAGACCTGAGCTAGCTTTGGCTTGCTTAACGTACCATTTGAGTTATCACTTCCTGATCCTGGGGCATAACTGGTTTGTGATTGGATAGTCTAGGCGGTACCTTCATTGACAACAGACATCAGAATTGGGAATGTTCTCCAGGAGTCGGGACACCTGATATGCGCATGCTTGTGCTGGGTTGTGACACTAGGATGAAGATGACCGCCCCACATCCTACACTTTGAAAACTAGGTGAGTCAGCACTGGCAGTTCCCATACTTCTATCCGGGGTGGGAACGTTGCCTTACCTTTTCAAATCCTCTAATTCAGCTTCCCTGAACTTAGAACTCCCCCCTCCACCCCCATCCTGGCTTCTTACCTCATTAGCAGAGACACATCCTGTATACTTCTTGAGAAACAAATCCTCCTCGGCACTTGTACATTTAACCCCGATAGACTTGTATAAGGCTGTTTTGAGATGCAGCTCTAGCATCCAGGACGGCCCCATAAAAATCTATGCTGTCTCATTGCGGGGGTGAGTCTGACACTGAAGAGGGTTTCTGCCCAAGGTAAAGAAATCTGTGCGTGTGATGTGGCCCAGCTACAAAGGTTGTCAGGTTGGGCAGGTTAAGGGGACCCTGTCATCATGTCTATGCAGAACAAAGTGATGGGTGTCTCTGCACAGGGCATCCTTCAACCCTTTATACACCTTACCTGTGCTTGAACCTTTGCACCCAGCAATAATACCTGCCACCATTTTGGCTATGGAGGAGCATGTGACCTGCTCTCTTTGACTGGGCCTGTCAGCCAATGGCTAGGTCTGAGCTCTGTCACATGACTGGAGGAGTGACATCACTGCTCTGCTGAGTTGCGGACACATAGGGAGCACACATAAGGTGAGTATAAGGGAGGAAGGGGCACTTAGAGACACTTGTCACTTGGCAATGCAGGGCAGTGTCTTAAAACAGCTGTGGGGGCAGTAGATGACTTTATAGCAAAAGTACAATTGTCCTTTTAAGGCTTAAATCACTACGGGCCCGTTCCCACTCATCCATCCAGCAAAATGCTGTGGACAGGGTGGTGCGTCTTGGCAGCGTTTGTTGTATTGCATTCTGCCGAAGTTGTCACTGTTAATTTTTTGTTTTCCCTTTTTTAAAAGTCCTGACTATCACTCTTGTCATATTTCAGGACATTATCTCTACACTGAGTTAAATAGCGGTTTGTTTCCTTTTTATTAGGCTGTGCAGAAGGCTATGCCAGAGATGCCACAGAGATCCAAAATATCCAGATAGCAGAGGGTGATGTGTGCAGAGGTCTCACGATCCCCATCTACATGATATTCCCCAGACTGTTCACATGCCCAACCTTGGAGACCACCAACTTCAAAATAGGTGAAGTATCCCCTTCTACTGCGTGTGGGGAGATTGGATCAGGTGTTTGCGGTAAAACTGTGCTAACTAAACTGTATTCCTCTTTCCCAGAATTTGAAGTGAATATAGTCGTGGTTCTCCAGGACGACCATCTTATTACAGAGAACTTCCCGCTCAAGCTGTGCCGAGTGTGACATGGGCATCTTATACGGACATCATCTGATCACTTTGAGAGATTCTGCATTTGTCTGGGTGGTCCCAGTATCACCTGAAACATCTCCTCAGTCTTTATCTTTTCCATGGAACTTGCACAATTTGAAGTCTATTGCTGCCATTTGGTATTGCCGACGTAAATATAAATGGCTTGCTACAAGTATTCATCTTCTTCTGGTGCCAGATATTGGCCACTATTCCTGAACTTTTAATACGCACTGTTCTAGATTGGTGAGGGATGGCGGAAGAATGGACCTGAATCTCGGTTACAATGCTTACAGTTCACACACAACTCTCTAACAAAAGACTTTCCGTGCTTCCTGTCAAGTTGCCATAAAGTACAACTTAAGATATTAAAATGGAAGTCAATATTTAACTTGTGTTTTCTTTTTTTCCCCTCTTTTAATACCTAATGAGCGGCCTTTCTTTAGCAGGATGACATTATATGACTTAAGACTCGTCTCTTCAGGGAAGTCTATCCCACCTCAAACTAACCACTCAACCATCACATTCTCAAACAATTCATCCCCACACATCTCCCCCTCATGTACCACTTCAGATGGTAAGCCCTCAGGGGCAGGGCCCTCCTTACCATCTTGTCTTTTATCTGTAATGTCTTCCTTATATTGCAAAGGAGTGGCTTCTCTGCAGCTTGGTCACCCTGCATGCCTATACACACAGAGGAGAAGGGATATCAGCATGGTCACCAATGATAATTCTCTAGGTTCAGGGTAGAGTGATGGTAGTAGCCTGCGTCTCCACCGGGGTAAGTTCATCTGACAAGGATTTTAGCAATATTGGAATCAGAAACTACGAGAACTCGGGTACAAAATCTAGCAGGAACACGTTTATAGCCTCTGCAATCAGCATATGAATGTCTAATTTGGGCCATAAGGTCATGCATGACCGTAGTAACAGCCCCAGCCAAGAAAGACATAGGACCCAGCTACACCTGACAGAACCAGAGTCAAGGAGGACAGCAAAGGCAGGAGAGACTCTAATAGTAGGGGACACTCGAGGCTGCACAATCGTTGGGAGCGCAGCAAGCGACCTCTAACCTGTTAGTAGAAAGCGAGCTGGGCTCACCAGGTACAGGTGTCTAAAACAAAAAAAAAAATGGTTTGGTCTTTACAACGGCCGAGCTGAAGAGAGAGAAAGAATACTTGTCCTCCTAGGACACCAGCCAAAACTGAGGCATGGCGGTAGTGGGAGGGCTTATACTTGGGGCTGGGCTACAGCTTTTTTTTTGGCTTGCCAATGTCCAATCCTCCTGTAGCCAGCAGTATGATCTGAAGGTTGAAGACTTCTTGTGTCCCTGAAAGGCATTTATGTGAAGTCATGTTGGGTAGCTTCTTTTTCCCCGATTAGGACTGAAGTTACATTTCGTAGCCGTTCTTATTCATGCTGAACCCACATTGTATTTAATGTTAATAAAAATCCCCGACCTTGAACTAACTTTCCAATCTATGATTCATGCTTTTCATTTGCTGCCCACGGGCACATGTTGGAATAAACAGTATCCGTGTTGGAAACAGTATCCGTGTTGGAATCCCACGCATAGGTGAAACGAAACACTTCATTAGCTCCGGTTGATATGAGGGCAGGTGCGCTCGGAATTATTTTTGCTCAGATGGTGACGAGCGAGTAATCAGAATATAAATGCCAAGTACAGTTCATATAACTGGATGAACAAATCCAGAAACCCGCCTATACGTTAAGTGTAACTGCCAGAGTATGACCAATGCAGCTCAGCCAATGACGTGACACATGATGAACAGACTAGGGTGTTAATGCGTACGGCAGGATTTAGCACTACTTGAAGCCTGTTGAACTTATTTAGAACGGCAGACAGCACTTGGTTTTCAAGAAATCTCTAATGTGCTTTGCATTAATGGAATGCTTTATGGTTCCTTTAAATAAACTCTAATATTGCCCATCCAGGGCAAAGTGTCTGTGAAAAGGTCCCCCTGATGCTCACTTCTCCAATGCTCCCACCTTTAGCTCAGCCAGCACAAAATACCCCATGCTTCCAGGTATAGGGGAGCATGTGACTGTGCTTAGGTCTGGTCACATGACATCACTGCTCCCCTAGGCTCCTACACCAGGTTGTTTGGTGCCAGCTGCGTGGCAGGAAGGTACAGTGTGGGAAATGCATCACCTTGTGCGACTATAGAAGCCACGGTACACCAGTCATTTATTACACTGATGATGGTCAACAAGCCTGTTTGAACACAGATGGGCCTTGATTTATCAAGATGTGAAAGTGGCCTTCCAGTAAATAATATTGCATGTCATTTTGGCATTCCTTAAATGAGGG